GCCCAGCCGGCGCCTGCGGACGCAGAGGACTCGGGTCACTTGGTTAGGGATGCAAACGCGGAAGCCCTGTGCTGTGCCTCTGAAACTGACATGTTGTCTGTTAGCCACGTTTTCCTAAAAATAAAGTCACTTAAGTGTTTAAAAGGGAAAAGACGGGGTGAGGACAGAGGCCTGGGATGCCTGGCCCCGCAATCCCGGCCCCGCTCTTGGGAGGACGCCCACCATCACCACCACTACCGCACAGCGGGTCTCCGGCCCCCAACCAGCCCCCCCGCCTCCGCCATCACCCCTGAAGGACCGAGGACCGTCCGCCCTCACCGGCGAGGACGCCCAGGCCAAGGTAGAGGTGCAGCAGACTCCCCGCGAAAGCCGAGAAGAGGAAGCCGAGCGAGGTGAGGACGCCCCCAATCATCACTACGGGGCGCGCCCCCCAGCGGGTGCTCAGGGCGCTGCCCACGGGACCTAGAAGGAGGCGGAGTCACGGGAAGACACGCCCTAACCCTCCACCTCCAACGCTTCCCATTGGCTGTGTGCCTGACCTAACGCTCCTCCCCCAGCCTACCGGCCCCCCCTCTCAACCTCAACCCACTCTGTTCGGGAACTGGGTGCCACCTGCCGTCCTTTCTCGGGTCACCTGGCAAGCAGGTGGGCACCCCACCACTGCACTCACGGCCCCTCCGTCCCGGCCCCTCCGTCCCGGCTCCTGCCCCCCACCTCGGGGCGTGGGGGGCTCACTGGCTGCCTGCTGCACGGCCAGGGCCAGGGCGCTGACCCACGCCGTGTCCTGAGCGGTCCGGCCGAAGTGCTCAGCGATGTCAGGGAGGGCCAGGCCCAGGGAGCGCAGCAGCCCGTAGGAGAGCCCGTTCACCAGGAAGGCGGCGGCCGCCACCACCCAGCCCCAGCCCCCGTCCGGGCTTCCGTCCAGGGTCCCGGCAGGCTTGGGGGTCATCGCCTTCTGGGGGAGAGAGGAACACATGGAATGAAGTCTCCATGTCTGCGCTTCCTCTAG